GTGTCCAGAATAGCTTTACTCGTAAACTTGCGCTGCGATGTTCCGGAATAAGTTATGATTCTCTCCCAAGCGCAGTAGAAAGACGGCGTCTTTACGGGCTACCCAGTCTACTAATAGAAGATTGATCAATGACCTCATGATGGCTTTCAAGATCCTCACTGGTAGAGCAACGGTCAAATCGGATGAATTCTTTACTTTAGTCACCTCTAGGAGTAGAGGGAGCACTATCAAGATCAGGGCCCCTGTATCGAGAACGCAAGTCAGGTCTAAAATTTTTTGTGATGCAGGGGCTGTCACGTTATTGAAGCATAAATTTTGGCCGCAAGATATTTTCCCAAATGACTACCTGGCCCATTCGTATATAGGGCCACCAGGCTAGTTAATTCAGAGGTCTCCTAAGTTTTCACATTTATGGGATTTGTCTTACTCCAGTTGATGTACTTGCCGATTGTGATTGTACAATTATGTAGCGCAGTTTCACTGCGTCCACAAATAAATAAATAAATACCAAATATAAAAAAATAAATATATAACGAGTCCTCCTAAGGCTGAGTTGATTTATACTTTATGTGCAAGGTTCGTAATCAAAAAAACAGGAATAGAGTAGCATAAACACCAGTCATAATGCGAGCTTAAATTGAACTATGCCACAACGAAAAAAAACCCAAAAAAGCGCATAAAGAAAAACACAAAACAAAAAAGAAATGCGCTAAAAATGCATTAACCCGAGATGTGGAGTACGGTAGCAGAAATGCGTATGTAATTGCAGCCGTGACTGGAGATTATTCGTCAATTTTAGCACTGGAGCGCGAACTTTCAGCAAAGTGGGGTGTCTTTGAAGGACCATAACTTCCTCAAAAGCGGACCTGTGGGGTCCGCAAAGAAACACGAGAGAAATGCTGGCAATAAGATTCGTTGGAGAGTGATTCAAAACAGGTTTGAATCAATATATTTTTTGTAACTCAACATTTCACAAATCTGAGAACGGTTTCGAGTGTTTAAAAGATTTTCTCTTTCTAAAAACCTCTTGAGCTGTTTCTGAAGCTCTCGGGATTCATGAGATCTCGCTATGGGGATTTCTTGAGGAACACTCCCAGCTGCGCGAAAAACCTTTTCCTATGTACGCCGTTTCAATGCGCGTAGATTCGAATAGCCAGGAATGCATGAAAAACGTATCCTCTGGTGGAGCAGGAGCAGAATATGGTTCGTTTGGCGCCGATCACGCTGACTTTGGATGCCGCAGGCCGCACTCGATGTCCCGCGCAGATGCGTCAAGGGATGGTGCAATTTTGTGCGTAAATGTCTGTCCTCACGCGAGCAAATTGTCTATAGGATTCAGGGAAGATCACATGCGACTGTGCCCTTGTTTACAGTGTTTTCCCTGCGATGATGGATGATGGAGCGTGTCTGTGTCGACGCCGCCAGATGTGTGCTCCGCCAATTGCTGTCTCCGATAAAGGAGACCAACTGCTGGAAAACGTCTATACGAACGATATGGTAGTCCTGTCGCTTGTCGAGAAAAAACAGGTTGGCTCAGCGCCAAGCGTAGTTGCGCGGACACGCCCCATCATCCGCAACGAACCAGAGTATGAGTTGTACTGTTCAGTCATCAACGACTTTAGGGAGATATGTCGACTTATTATAATAATAATTTCAGTTATTTCGGATTAATTGATGGTTGAAAGTTTTCTACTATTTCTTTTACATATCCGAGTTCTCTACAAAGCGAGTTCCGCTACTCTGGACTCAGCACACTGAGACCTTTGCGCTGCTCGATACTGGCTACCGCCCTCATTACGACCCCCCCCCTCTCCTGGCGGCCAAATACGACCCCCCCTATGGGGATTCCTCAACCAATGATGTGCCCTGCTCGTTACGCCAGCGTGCGCTAGCGTACGCCAGCGTGCCGCTGGTGACGCTGGTGAAGCTAGATCGATATGCATCCTCTCTTCGGCACTGCCGCTGGCGTACGCTGGAAGCGCTACGCTACGCTGCCGCAAAGTATAAACGCAGCCTAAGTCAAGTGTCCAAGGGCACACCAAGTGTTCAGTGATGCGACCGTCGCAGAAGGGTGCAATTGGCATTCTTTTTTGGAGATTTATTATAACCTCGAGAAGAGTTCTGCTGTATAGATACAATTAGGCATTGGTATCGTAGAGCTAAGGTTCATTAAGCAATCTGAGAGAAATCGATCTTCCATGTTTCAAACGATCGTTGACGCTCGTTTCGTTGACTCTACGCCTCAGTCTCCTCCGTTCTTCTATGCTGTTGTGCTACTACGGTAACCTTGCTTCTTTCAACTTGTAATGTCGTTCTTAAAACGGCCTTATATTTTTTAGCTTCTTTTTCGAGGGACGTTGTTACGCCGAATTTTAGAAACTGTGTCCTTTGTCAAAAATAGATGACTTCTCCTTCATAAAAAGGAATTGCCATCCAAGACTGCTAGAAGGTACGGGCGGTGAAGCCGGGCTGTATCACGCGTCGGCGTCAACCGTCTAGCCGACTGGTAGGAAAAAATGTTTCCTAACTTTTGCCGCATCACTTTAGAGAAAACTAGCATTTTTCCAGTATTTTCAGTTTATCAGTCTTTTTCAATTGTATTTTTATTTTGTGATTTTATTTATTTTGTGAGATTTTCAATTCTGTAAGAAGAGAGGAGCACATCATTCTTCTTGCATGATCCTTACTAAAGAAAATATGAGTTCTGCAATGTTCAGTGAATAAAAAAAAACAGTAGTTCCTGCTGCCAATGTCTTTCAGCCGAAGAAAGTCATATTTTGCTTCTTACGAGAGAGAAGAAGAAAAATTCCTGAACAAACAGACCCAAACCCTTTGAAAGAGCACGGAAGAAAAGAAACATCGAAGTGAGATTCTTTTCGGCAGATCCCATGGTATGATCACAGCAACCGTAAGTAAACCTACTGAAGTCAAAGTGCATCTTCTTTATTGAAAAAATAAGCGGATGACGTACTTCTAGAAAATCCGCGGCTAGGCGACCAACCGTTCCCAAAGTCCAAGCCTTTTTTTCTCTGCTCCCTTCAGGTGGATGTGGAAAGCCATTCCATAAATCATATAGTGATACAGATTCGCTGCAAATAGATTTCGTACAGTAGAGTATGGATACAATTCCTTTTTAGAAGGAGAAGTCATCTATTTTTGACAAAGGACACAGTTTCTAAAATTCGGCGTAACAACGTCCCTCGAAAAAGAAGCTAAAAAATATAAGGCCGTTTTAAGAACGACATTACAAGTTGAAAGAAGCAAGGTTACCGTAGTAGCACAACAGCATAGAAGAACGGAGGAGACTGAGGCGTAGAGTCAACGAAACGAGCGTCAACGATCGTTTGAAACATGGAAGATCGATTTCTCTCAGATTGCTTAATGAACCTTAGCTCTACGATACCAATGATTAATTGTATCTATACAGCAGAACTCTTCTAGAGGTTATAATAAATCTCCAAAAAAGTATGATGAATGCCAATTGTACCCTTCTGCGACGGTCGCATCACTGAACACTTGGTGTGCCCTTGGACACTTGACTTAGGCTGCGTTTATACTTTGCGGCAGCGTAGCGTAGCGCTTCCAGCGTACGCCAGCGGCAGTGCCGAAGAGAGGATGCATATCGATCTAGCTTCACCAGCGTCACCAGCGGCACGCTGGCGTACGCTAGCGGCACGCTAGCGTAGCCCACCGCCCCGCCGGCGCCGCTGGCGAAGCTAGATCGATATGCATCCTCTCTTCGGCACTGCCGCTGGCGTATGCTGGATGCGCTACGCTACGCTGCCGCAAAGTATAAACGCAGCCTAAGTCAAGTGTCCAAGGGCACACCAAGTGTTCAGTGATGCGACCGTCGCAGAAGGGTACAATTGGCATTCATCATACTTTTTGGAGACTTATTATAACC